ATAAATGTGCTTACAATGGCTCCAAGTGGCCAAGAGATTTGGCCTGTCCTTCAGTAACCTTACCCTGTAGGTCTATCTCATATTATAAGGACTTCTGGTCAGAGGCCGTGAGGAGGATAACAATTGGTTGAGAAGTCAGAAGGCTTGGCACCAGGCACCTTCAGGAAGGTCACTTTGCCACAACTTACCGAAAAGGAGAGTAGCAAGTCTTAAGGGGAGTTACCAGTTCCATTACACTTCCCATGAAACATTGCCTCTGGGACAGACAAAGGCAAGGGCACCAGGAGAATCCTGGGTGACCACCATTTTTTGCCCCTCTCCCCCATACTCTGTGACAAGCAGCACTCTCCTCCCTGAGGCGATGTGGAGCCCACCCTGACCCTGAGAAGGACGACAGGCTCATTGAAAGCAGCTCTTCCCATACAACCTCGGGTTGACTGCACAAAGAGACCATCTCCCACTCTTAAACAGGAGGGTGTAATGTGCCAAACATTCGTAATTTGTGTCCTTTACCTCTAATTTATCAATTTTGCTGATCTCTCAAATATCATTGATTTTTCTCTATAGATTTTGAGTTTGCAATTTCATTGCTTTCTGTTCTTTTTTTTTCTGCTTTGAATTTAATTTGCTTTTCTTTTTCTAGTTTCTTTTTAAATTATTGTTTAAAGTATTACATAGAGCATTAGTTGGCAAACTGTGGCTCGCGAGCCACATGTGTATGTCTCCTTTTTCTCCCATTGACCTCTTCCTGGCCCCCCACACCACATGCTCTCAACCCCCTGGTTTCTGTGTCCATTGGTTATGCTGATATGCATGCATACAAGTCCTTTGGTTGATCTCTTACCCTCCCTCCAATCACACCACCATCACCTTCCCTCTGAAGTTTGATGGTCTGTTCCATGCTTCTCTGTCTCTGGATCTGTTTTTGTTCATCAGTTTAGATTATTGGTTTTTAGGTATTTCTTTTCTAATATATGCATTCAGTGCTATAAATTTATTTGTAAATACCACTTTGCTGCATTCTACAAATTTTGATAATTTGTGTTTTCATTTTCATTTTGTTCAAAAATTTTTAAAATTGTGTTGGGATTTCTTTCTTTAACCCATTTGTTATTTAGAAGTGTGTTGTTTAATCTCCACTGGAGTCTCAGTCATTTTTCTTTTATTGATTTCTAGTCTAATTCCACTGTGGTCTGAGAGCAGATACTATATGACTCCTATTCTTTTAAATATGTTAATGTGTGTTTTATGGCCAGGAAGATGCTCTGATTGGTGAATGTTTCTTGTGAGCTTGAGAAAAAATGTGTATGCTGCTATTGTTAGATGAAGTACTCTATAGACATTCATTATACCCAGTTGATTGGTGGTGCTGTTGAGCTCCACTCTGTCCTTTCTTTAAAAAAATTTTTTTTAATTGATTTTTTTACAGCAGGTAAGGGAGAGGGATAGAGAGGTAGAAACATCAATGAGAGAGAAACACTGATCAGCTGCCTTCTGCACACCTCATACTGGGAATATGCCCGCCACCAAGGTTCATGTCCTTGACTGGAATGTACCTGAGACGCTCTATCCATTGAGCTAAACCGGTTAGGGCCACTCTGTCCTTACTCATTTCCTGCCTGTTGGATCTGTCCATTTCTGATATATGGGTATCAAAATCTTGAATTATAATAGAAGACTTATGTATTTCTCCTTACAGTTCAATCAGGTTTTGCCCCACATATTCAAAGCTCTGTTGTTAGGCACATACATGTTAAGGATTGTTATATCTTTTTAGAGAATTGATCCCTATGTTATTGTGTAATGTCCCTCTTTTTCTCTGATAGCTTCCCTTGCTTTGATGTCTGTTCTGTCTGAAATTAATATAGCTAATTTGTGGGGTTTTTTAATTAGTGCTAGCACGTTCTTTCTTTCTCCATCCATTTACTTTTAACCTATATATGTCTTTATACTTAAAGTAGGTTTCTTGTTGACAACATATTGTTGAGTCTTGTTCTTTTAAAATATATTTTTATTGATTTTAGAGAGAGAGAAACATTAATGATGAGAGAGAATCATTGATTGGCTGCCCCTCACATGCGCCCCACTGGGGATGGAGCATGCAACATGGGAGTTGAACAGTGACCTCCTGGTTCATAAGTTGATGCTCAACCACTGAGCCATGCCAGTCAGGCTGTTGAGTCTTGTTAATCCACTCTAACAATCTCTGTCTTTTAGTTGGCTCATTGAGACCATTGATATTCAGTCTGATTATTGATGTAGTTGAATTAATATTTGTCATATTTCTCACTACTTTCTATTTGTTATCCTTGCTCTTTGTTGCTATTATTGTCTTACACTCTTTTTCTGCCTTTAGTGGTTTTATCTTTTCCCTTCTTTCTTAATATATTAGCTGTACATTTTTTTTTTTTTTTTTTAGTGGTTGCCTTAGATTTTGCAATATACATTTACAACCAATCCAAGCTCACTTACTGCTTCATGGGTATGAGTACTTTTTAATAAAAATAAAAAAAATCCTAATTCCTCCCTCTTTTTCCTTATATTACAAGCACAAAGGAGTGTGGGCACACGAGCGTGCACACACTCACACACAAACACACACACACACACACACACACACACACACACACACACACACACAGATTATATATATATTAGAGGCCCAGTGCATGAATTCATGCACCAGTGAGGTCCTTTGGCCTGGTCTGTGGGATTGGGCCAAAACCAGCTCTCTGAAATCCCCCAAGGGGTCCAGGATTGTGAGAGAACCAAGGCCAGGCCAAGGGACCCCACCAGTGCACAACTGGGGCCAGGGAGGGATGCAGGAGGTTGGCCAGCTGGGAGGGCTCCAGGGCATGTCCAGCCCATCTCTCTCAGTCCCAATTGGCTGGGACCCAGCAGTAAGCTAACCTACCAGTCAGAGCGTCTGCCCCCTGGTGGTCAATGCACATCATAGTAACGGCTGAGCAGCCTTAGGATATCATTAGCATATTACGCTTTGATTGGTTGAACTGCCAACCAGACAGCCAGACACTTAGCTTATTAGGCTTTTATTATATGATATATACATAAGCACACATAATTGAATATATTATTGCTATCCTTTTAAACAATGTGCTATCTGTTAAATCAATGATGAGTAAGATAAATACAAGTTTTTATTTTACCTTTATTTATTTCTTTTCTGATGCTTTTTCTTTGTTTATGTAGGTCTGAGTTTCTGATATATATTACTAGTATTTTCCTTCTTCCTAAAAGACTTCTTTTAACATTTCTTGCAAGTTGAAACAACTGGCACTGAATTCCCTTAATTTTTGCTTGTCTAAGAAAGTCTTTATTCCTCTTATTATTCTGATCTCCTTATGGAGGCCCATTTGGAGAGTGAGTTTGAGCTGTTAAAATGGACTTTAAAAACCTTAGCCTGGTGCCCTAACTGGTTTGACTCAGTGGATAGAACATCAGCCTGTGGACTGAAGGGTCCCAGGTTTGATTGTGGTCAAGGGCACATGTACAGGTTGGCAGCTCAGTCCCCAGTGGAGAGTGTGCAGGCAGCAGCTGATCAATGATTATCTCTCATCATTGATGTTTCTATCTCTCTTTCCTTCTCCCTTCCTCTCTGAAATCCTATATAATAAAAACCTAATATGCAAATTGTCTCCTCAGGCAGTCATTTGACCAGGAGTTTGACCAGGAGAACGGGAGTTTAACCACTTGCTATGACGTGTGCTGATCACAAGGGGACGATGTGGAACATGGCGGGCATCAGCAATGCGGCAGTGGAGGTGCTGCCAGCCTCAATGGGCCCAGATGAGAGCAGGACCGAGACAGGATAGTGGAGCAGGTGAGCAGGCGGGTGCAGGCAGGGGCCTGATCACCCCCCAAATCCTCCTGCAGATGGTGACCAATAACAGCAGGGGGCAGGGCTGCTGTCCAGCTCCCAGGTGCTGAGAAAGCCCGGTGGGGCTCTCAGCCCCGACAGATTGCCCCACAGGTGGGATGGTGGAACAGGTGAGAGAGAGGCACCAGGTCCTTCTTCCTAAGGGTGCCAGGCAGGGCTACAGGGCTATGAGAATGGGGGCACAAGCTGGGGCCCAATCTCTGCAGGCCACCCCAAGGGACCCCACTCGGACAGAAATTCATGCACCAGGCCTCTAGTAAATAATATATCTTATTTTTAAAAAAACAACAACAACAACACTTGCCTGGTCTTTTAAAGACTCCTTGTGAGCAACGTAATAACATCTTTCCAAGGTTTAATTCTTATAGCATAATTCATGGAAAAGCACATCATCTTTTTTTCTGTTGTTTCTCCTCAACAAAAATTTAGACACAAGCTCAAAAATAAAGGCGGTCCCTCCAAACAACCACAGAGCTCCCTAAATTCTACCACGTTGTGTCCGGCAGGGAAGTTGAGTTTCTGACAACTGATCTGCCCTTGCCCACCCACCTCTCTATGATTTTGACACCAGGACCTGACTGCATGTAGGGGTGTTCTCTGAAAGTATTGGGGGGAGGGAGTGTGGAATCAGAATTAAGAGGTTCATTCACTCAATGAAGTTCAGTCATCCAAGTTTCACTTTGACCTGCCTTACCAAAATTTGGGAGTGAGCTGACAAAACTTCCTTTCCTTTGAACTCTAGGAAGGGGTACCAGTTAGAACTGCCCAGAAAACTCAGTACCCCTTTGCTGGAGACAGCTAATAAGGGGAGCACATTTCTGCGGTTATACAAGGGTTTGGCCAGAATGACCACACAGCTTCTTCCCGGCTTTATGGTGTAAGCACCTGACTCGAAGTTCTTGGGAACAACAAAGTGATTTAAGGCCTGAGAGGAATGAGCAATTCACAAGACACAGAAAGTCCCGCTAAGACAGGAAGCCTGTCAGTGCCGGATCTAGTCTTGCAGAGTCAGGACTGCCTGGTAAAGCTCGCTTCTGCCGTGCCGTTTACAAGCAGCTGCCGCCCGGGCTCCTGTCATCAAGCTCCTTCCTTCTCTTCACTGATGGATCCCAGGGGGCTTCTCTCCTGGGACGTTCTGCTGTTTCTCTCCCTGGCGTTTGAACGGAGCTGTGGAACAGGTGAGTGCCCATGCGGGTGAGGGTTGGAGACCTGGTATGACTTGCAATGGAGCCAGCCAGCCCCGGGGAGTAACAGGAGACGCGGTGGCCAGGGGCTGTGGTTCAGCTGCCTCTTCCTTAGGAACCAGCTGGGAGTTTCAACGGCCCCTTTCAAACAGGAAGGAATGTGGTGAGGTCCTGTGCCCCTGGGTTCCGAGGAAAACGGGAGCTCTGAGCCCAAGGCACGGTCACCTTCTAGACCAGCCTCTCCGGTGACAGGCTCTGGCCGGTCTGGTTGGGTGGGTGGTTTTGTGTGGATGTCCTGGCTAAGGCCCAGGCTGAGAGCTTGAGATGGGAGCTGGGGTCCGGGGAGAAAATGCTCCCACCCTCTTGCCCTGCAGGGGGATCAGAAACACAGTCTGACAACAAGGGAGGACTGTGATGGGAAGCGAGGGTAGAAGTGAAAATCCCAGGCCTTTGGCTGAGAACAGAGTGACCACGGTGTGGTTTTACTGGAAGAGAAGGTTTCAAGGCAGCAAGAGGGGAGAGGCCAGGAGTTCTGGTTTTCTGGTTACAGTAAGTGGTCAAGGCAGCGCCGGCTCAGGCCAGTCACACACACGCCAGAGCACTTGGACTGGCTCGGCCCCTGTCTTTCTTGCCTTCTGAAGGATAGCTGGCGTTCTCTGTTTGGTAGCATCCAGGCTGTGGGAAAAGGCATTTGCGAAAGAAAAAGTGAACTTTGGGCTCACTGGGTATTGGGCTGAGAGTCTCATTTCAGCTTAAAGGCCTTGGGCTTTGATTAGAGTGTGGGAGGCAGCCTGAAGTGTGTGGGGGAGAATCCAGAGGCTCCGCATGTTTTGTGCTTGGGGTTTTCAAGACGGTAACTCCATTATGGACTTTTCCAGGAGAATCCCAGAGACATGCCTGGGAGGCCAGAGGGGCTGCACAATGAGATCTACCCTCTGCCCGACTCCCAGGTGGAAAGACCTTCCTGGCCCCACTTTTTCTCAGAATCAGGCAGACCTGAGGCTCTTGCTGCCCGATGTCTAGGAGAGGAATAGCTGAGCTCAAGGCCCAGAAAGCTAAACGGAGCCACTTTGAGCTGCCACCAGAAGGGCCAGGCCTTCCTGGGCACACCCTATTTTTAACTTCTACCTCTTAGAACACCTCTTAGTGACTGTGAGGAGGGGAGGGGCTGAATAGGGTGCTGGGCTTTTTCATCTCCACGCTTGCTTGCCTCCCGGCCCATGACGTCTCAGGTGCTGCTGACAGCTGTTCCACTGAAGACTGTGGAGGTCACTGGTTAGCGACAGCCCAGCCCCCATAGGGTGTGTCTACCCAATCGGCAGTGGCTCCCTTCCTTCCAGTGTCTTCTCTGAAATAGGCACAATGCTTTTACAGCCTTTATTTTTAAGTACACGCCCTTTTGTGAAACCCCATAAAACCCAGACAGAAGTGTTTTGCGAGTGGGGCAGATCAGCCATGACAGAGTCACCCAACCAAGTAGCCCAGTTCTTCTAAAACCAGTACCCTCTTCCCTTCCCATCTCTATCCAGCTCACCTTCCAATCCCCAGTCAGAATTGTAAAAATCGAAAAGTTCACGTGGCTCAGTGGTTGAGCATCGAACCAGGAGGTCATGGTTTAATACCACCCCCTCCCCCCCAGTCAGGGAACTTGCCCCAGTAGGGGGCATGCAGGAGGCAACCAATCAATGACTCTCTCTCATCGTTGATGTGTGTTTCTCTTCCTCTCCTTTCCTCTCTGAAATCAATATATATAGTTTGTGTGTGTGTGTGTGTGTGTGTGTGTGTGTGTGTGTTTAAGTTCACATCCCTTCTCTCAATAAAGTGTATTTTCCATGCCCCCTATGGTACTTTTAAAAAATAGACTTTATTTTTAGAGTAGTTTTGGATTCTTAGAAAAATTGAGGCAGAAATATAGAGATTTCCCCATCCCCCTTACCCCTGCCCCCGCCACACATGTGCAGCCTCCCTTATTATCAGCATACCCCACGGAGTGGCACATTAGTTATAATGGATGAATCTAACCCAATAGCATTTTTTATTTCTTTATGCACACCCTTTCCACCTCTTCTCCACACATGGGGGGGGGGGGAGGTGAGGGACAAGTAAATGTGGATTCTAGACTTGGTCCAACCCTGTGTATATAACAAGCTTGGGCCCATTTTATCTCAAGATGTAGATCTAGGAACTTTTATTTCTCAAAAGCTTTAGTAATGCCACCACCATCTCTCTCTCCAGCTCTGGACTGGAAACCAAAACATCAGGGCTACTTGTTTTATCTTAGCTTGACCTTGAACCATCCCATTCAGCAGCTATGTAATTAGGATACATGATGTGCCAGGCATGGTGAGAGGTGTGGGGAGAGCAAAATGAGCAAACACAGCCTCTGCCAGCGCCTGGCACAGAGTCTGGTCCATGAGAGCTCTTCCACACATGTCTGTGGACCGAGTAAGGATGGCATGTGCTGACTACCTACCTGGCACTGTTCTAAGTGCCTCATGTGTATCATCCATCTCATTCTCAGGCCAACCCTAGGAAATATTTTTTCATTGCGGCTACCATTATACTTTTTATAAAAGAGGAAAGAGAGGCACAGAATAGTAGCAACTTTTCTGAGGTCACACAGCCTGACTCCAGAGGCCTCAATGAATAAAACTGGATGAACTTGTATTTAGGGAGGGGAGGAAATGCTAAAATTTGTATCCACGTCCCATGGTAAAAACGAGAATGTGCAATCTATAATTAAAGCATAGGAGTCAACTTGAATTGAACTGAAATGAATCAAAGTATAAAAATTTTCAAAAGATGGATCAAACTATAGAAGGAAGTAGAGGGCATCTGTAAGTATTTGATCTAGAATTTGTAAAGTGGATAGAAACTTCTTTCATCGTGGAAGTTTTCATTTAATAACTTGGTTAACTGGTTTGTCTAGTGCAAGAGTATCACATGTACGTCTACAAAGCTTTGACAACACAATGGGGTATAAAATGGACACAAATTTCCCTTCCATATCCCTCATGGAGGAACTCTATTACCAATTTCTTTCAAGTCCTTCCAAATATACTAGTGCTAGAGGCCAGGTGCACGAAATTTGTACATGGGGGGAGGGGAGCATTCCTCAGCCCAGCCTGCAACCTCTCCAATCTGGGATCCCTCTCACAATTCAGGACTGCTGGCTCCCAACTGCTCGCCATGAATAATTTCACTCACACATCTCACTTCTAGAATTTGAGGAGATGGAGTGCCTTAGCTAGGAACCTTAGGTTTCGGGGACAACAGACCATTGACCATTTTCTCTGAACACTCAAACACCTTACTTCTAACCACTTCTGCCTGCCAGTCTGATCACCTCCTAACCATTCCCCTGCCAGCCTGGTCACCCCTAACTGTCCTCCCCTGCAGGCTTGGTTGCCCACAAATGCCTTCCTCTGCAGGCCTTGTTCCCCACAACTTCCCTCTCCTGCAGGGCTGTCTTCTCCAACTGCCCTCCCCTGCAGGCCTGGTCATCCCCAAATGCCCTCCCCTGCCATCCCAGTCACCCCTAACTGCCTTCCCCTGCAGGCCTGATCACCCTCAACTGCTCTCCCTTTCAGGCCTGGTCCTTCCCAACTGCCCTCCCCTGCTGGCCTGATCGCCCACAACTGTCCTCCCCTGCTGGCCATCTTATAGCAGCCATCTTGTGTCCGCATGGGGGCGGCCATATTTGACCACATGGGGGTGTCCATCTTGTGTGTTGGAGTGATAGTCAATTTACATATATAGGATTATTATATAGGATATGTTTGGTAGCTTGGATTGTTATAGGACTTGAGAAGAGTGCTCTAGGTGACGGCACTAATGTAGAAGTGAGATGTGTGAGTGTTCAGAGAAAACGGTCAATGGTCTGTTGTCCCCAAAACCTAAAGTTCCTACCTAAGGCACTTCCATCTCCTCACCTGACAAGTGGGGAGAAGGGTCCCCATCATTTCTCTCCATTTTACATCTCTCAGGGATGTTCTAAAGATGAAGAGAGTATGTTCTTATTTTGGAGAGAGGAGAACTTAAACTCTTGTCATTTGTTCATTTAGCTCATTCAGCTGTTTCATTCTGGGGCTACAAGGATTTATTGAGCTCCCACTATGTCCCAGGTGAGTCAGGATCACAGCAGTGAACATGACCGTCACAGTCCCTATTCTTAGAAGCTTCTAACGAGGTCAAGATGATGGGCTTGAACCAGAGTTAAAAGCATGATGAGTGACATGAAGGAGAGGGGCAGAGGGCAGAGGCAGGTAGAAGGTGCTAGCCAGGCAAACATAGGGCGGTACCAGGCTTTCGGCTGGGGAGTGGCAAGTACAGATTCTCCAGGACAGAAAGACCCAGCAGCACCAAGGACTGGGAACAGAGGACTGCTGCTGGGACTAGAGCTAAAAAAGCAGCCTTGGGCACGTTAACCTTTCCTTCTGGCCCTAGATTTGCCATAGGAACTGTGAGGCTCTGTAGCTCCTGCCTCTCCTCTACCTGAAAGAAGTGCTGTAGCAGGATGCTACCAGCGTGTGTGACCGTACTGGGTGGGGGTGGAGAGGGGTGGAGTGGGAATGGGGGTGCTGGTCTCATTAGGCAGAACCCCGTTTGGTGAAAGGGTTGGGTCAATGCTACTGATTTCAGGAAACTATCCATGGCCCCTGTGAATCACTCTAGTTTCTGGGTAGAGTGACGCTGGAAGGAAGGTGAGTTGGTGCTGACAGCTACACGTGTTCCTTTCAGACCCTCCCGGTAAACAAGAATGACTGAATCACAGGCCCCCCGGAAAACACCCGTCAGGCAGCAGCTTCAGGAGCGGGGACTCCGCGGAAGGCCTGCATCACCCTCTTTAAAGCCCCCACTTCTTTCCACTCATGCCCAGGTGGCAAGGATGTCAAGGCTCCCCGTCATGCACACACACAGCGCTGTTACCTCACCTCTCTTTTGTGGTTGTGGGCTGGGAGGGTCTCTTCCTAACCAGGTTTTGATTCCACTTCCCATGACTGAGTGTGCCCAAACCACTCAGCCTGTGTTTCTCATCTGCCCCCTTTTCTTTTCCACTTCCCTCTCCTACTTTCTTTCCTTGATTTTTTTTTTTCTACTCCCTCTCTCCTCCTCCATTCCCTCCTCTCCACTCTCCACCAATTCTGAGTTTTTACTGTAACCGTGGTGCAGGGTGGGTGGGTTAGGTGAGGGTAGGGGCACACGGGAGATGGATGGGATGGGGGAGGGTTATGGCATGAGAAGGAAAATCGTTTTCATTTCTTTTCCCTTTATACCCAAATTGGCCTAAACCTGTATATATGGTAAGATAGTGACTTTAATCTCGTTTCAAAGTCCAGGCCACTTTGAGAGGTGACGTTTATGTATGTGTTCCTAGAAAAATGTCCATGTACTGAGCTGCCCAACATTTTGTACATAATTTCAGGGGATGCCTTGGGGTATTTCTTCTTGCACATATGGTTCTGATTTTCTACCCTCCCTTCATCTGAAGCAGTTTACATTCAGGATGCAAGAGGTTACTTTCTTGGGTTCTATACCTGCCACGTTATCTGGACAGTCAGGCATTCGTTAGGTGTTTGCAGCATGCTTCACAAATTACCTTTGTAAAAACGTCAACACCAGCACGTTAGGATTTCAGGATAGTTTGGTATCAAGAACATTGTGGCCAGTTTGTCCAATTTCCCAACCACCTGTCTTAATCACAAGTTAATTGTGTCTTTTCTAGGTGGCTACATCACTTAAGCAAACCATTTTATTTTTTTTCTGACTTTTGTTATCAGCTAGAACAATCTATGCTTTCTCTGAGTCATGGGCTCCTTTTATGAGCATTAGCTACGGTTACGTTATTGAGATCAGTTATATATTGAGCAAAGTTGAATAAGAGGAATTTTAGTCAGATAACATGGCTTTTGGCATTCATAAATTGAACAGGCATTTATTAAAAGCCTACTGTGAGTCCTAGGGACAAAGCAATGAACAAAATATGATTCTTCCTCTTAAGGAGTTTGCATCCTAGTGGGAAAGACAAAAATAAAATAAACAAATATACAATCTAACATCAATTAAGTAACAAGGAGAGCAGTCTGTTTTCAAAGTTGATATACTAGCAATATTTAAAATAGTTTAAGGACAACAAGAAGGGGACACTATTTTGTTTATTTGGGGGGAATGCTATTTTAGACAGGGAGGTCAGAGTACATCTCACAGAAAAGATCATGTTTTAGCAGAAACCTACAATAAAGTGAGGGAATGATCTATCCAGGTGTATAAAAGAAGCACTGAAAGAGAGAAAGAGACAGAAACAGGGAGAGGTGCAAAAGTTCCAAACCAGAAATGTTCTTGAGTAAAGAAACAGCCAGAGTCAGGATGTCCATAGTGCAGAGAGCACACAGCAGAGAGAGGGAAGGAGATGAAGTTGGAGCAGCATCAAGGCTGGGTTGTTCAGAGTCTCTGAAGCCAGAATAGGACTGTGGGTACAGGGAAAAAAATGGGTCAGGAAATGGAGGCAGAAAATAGATAATACACTTAAAAGGACTTTGTGATCATGAAAAACAGAGAAATGGGGAAATGGCTGGGGATAGGCCTAGGATCAGGGGTTGGTTTCTTAAGATTAATAAAATTACATGTTGGCATGTTGTGTTAATGAAAATAATCCACATATATCAAATCATAATAAAACCCATGATGTGAGGGGTGGGGCAATTGCCTTGAAGAGGTGAGTGCTCCATGAAGAGAAAGCTCACCATGAAGAATGGGTTGCCCAGGCAACCCATCCAGGCAGGCAGGTTAACTTGGTAGTGCTAATTAATGGAAGGTCTCTTTTTATTTCTTCTGTTCTTCAGCGAAATCGGAAGCAGGTCGTCAGCTGAGGTTGTGGGTTTGAGGAGAGAAGATGTGTTAAATAGTCAACAGTGGGATCCCTTACATTGGCTTGAAAGGTTTGGGGTTTTTACAGTTGTTGGTTTTGCTTTTTGTTGTTGTGAATCCTCACCCGAGAATATTTTTTCCATTTATTTTTTATTTTTTTATTTTTTTATCCAAATTCTTTAATGTTTAAAGTATTACATGAGTCTCCCCCTCAACCCCCCCCCCCACCTTAACCTCTCCCTGGCTGCTCCTGCCCCCCATCCATTGATTTTTTATTTTTTTTATTTTTTTTAGAGAAAGTGGAAGGGGGGAGGGGAGAGAGAAGCATCAATGTGAGAGAGACACATCAATTGGTTGTCCCCCCACATGTGCAATGAACAGCACGGGAATCAAACTTGAAACTCAAGCAATTGTCTTTGACTAGAAATTGAGCCACACTGGCCGGGACAGCTCCACTTCTTTTGAAAAATAAGATAATTTCTTATCTTCAACATGATTAACTGTCTTGAGGGGTTTTGGTGGGCTAGGAAACCAGTTTCCACACAGGGCTCAAAACCTCCCTGTCTCCAACTCCCTCAGACTTTTCTCATTTCCATTGTCTAAAATGGCTCTTGTAACCTTGGTTTCCTGGGCTCACGAGCTCAGAGTCACTTCCAGTTGCTCTCTATCCTTCAGCGTATATACTGGTGAGAAGTCTGGTGGAGGAATGACCATTCCTGGACTCTAGTCCAGTTACCAGTTATGTGATTTTCAGAAAGTCATTTACCTTCTCTATGCCTTAGGTGCCTTACCTATAAATCTCAGCTGATAGAACTCCCTCCCAGGTCAAAGAAACCCAGTGTCCTAGTGAGTCTATACAGCTCCATAATAAGTAACTTTAAAATTACCACTGCAATATTACAGTCCAACAGGGCCCTCATGACAATCTTTATAGACCACGAAGGCCTGGAAAGCCTAGTCTGTCATTCCTGACCCACGCATCACTCGCCAAGCCCCAGGCCCTGGCATAGCATTGTATTTTCCTGAGGGGAAGAGGCAGCTTTTTCTCATTTAAACAAAGGCTCTGGATAGAAAGTCACTTCCTTGCAGAATTAAACTAGAGTCTAGTTCTTCTGAATCCATCCAGTGCTTTACTGAGCCTTTCTTATCCCAGCTCCTCTTAAAGGCACCCAGTTTGTATCTCTTAGGTTCCAGGTTCCCTTGAATTCCCAGGGGTCCTGACCACCACAGGATTCTCAAAGGCACCCATAATAAAAGACTGTCTTCTCCTTCCTGCCACAGGTTGCCCGACAATCTTTGGGCGGTTGGGAAGCAGCGTGCTGTTGCCCTCAGTATCTGATGGGATAAGTAAGAGTATGAACAAGAGCATCCACATATTAATCACAAAGGCAGAATCACCGGAAAACAGGTCCAGTAAGAAAATCGTGTCTCTTAAGCTGCCAGAAGGAGGCTCTTCATCCCACCTGGAAAATGGCTATAGTTTTTACCCGGAAAACTTGAGCCTGGAGATCCTGGAAAGCGAAAAGGAGCATGAGGGCTGGTACACTATGACCCTGGAGGAAAAACATTCAGTCCAGCGCTTTTGCCTGCAGCTGAAGCTCTATGGTAAATAATGGTTGCTTCTCCACACTGGAGGGCCAAGATGGTCCCTTGCCTAAGATCTAAGGCCTCTCTCAGAGGCAAAGAATAGTCAGAATAGAGAGCACATGAAAGATCGCCTAGTCTGGGGGTATTTAAGCTGTGTTTTGGAAGGAAGCGTTAGGTTCGAAAATATTTCTTGTCCGAATTGTACATTTGTGATAGCTGATTAGCATAGTCACTCTTACCCCACTTTCCCAAAGTGCCAGGACTGACCAGCAGACCCTGAGTAGCAGATGAATGATTTCTCTGACACACGTTTCTGTGAAAGAGAGGGCTAAGGGACTATCTGACTAAAGGAACCAGGCGGCCTCATTTGCCTGACTCCTTAGGCTTTTATTGTAGCAACAGCTTGAACTAAAATTAACTTCTAGGTATTATCAGCAGGGTAAGTATCCCTGAAAAAACACATGCATCTGCAGTGTTTAAGCAAGGATGTCTGAAGTCTAAACACAGATTCCAGTAAAACACCGGGGGCTCAGACTTGTTTTGAAAAGTCAAGGCGGGGTCTGCTGCTTTCGGCAAGGTTCTGCCAACCTTTGGTAGAATCCTTACAGACTTTCCCAAGTCCCGTGCTTCCCAACACCAAAGAAAAAGAGCACAGCTACCTGTGGGCCAGAGGGCCTGGAGCCCCAAGAGTCTCAATTTGCAAGTAAGAATTCGTTATTTTTAAAAGGTGGCTTTTTCCCACCCTGATTTTTAAAAGTTTGACTATCAGAGGACGGAAATCCAGAGAAGTGGTTTGTACCAGCTTTCACACATCTGAGTGGGTGGTGAGAGAAGGAGAGCTGAAACTCAACCCCCACACTATCCTCCAAGCCCTGTACCCTGGCCAAGCATTGCATTTTCCTGGGGGAAGAGGCAACTTTTTCTCTTTTACACAAAAGCTCTGGTTATAAAGTCACTTAACTGCAGAATTACACTAGAACCTAGGTTCATCTGAATCTGAGGCCAGTGCTTCACTGAGCCTTTTTAGTCCCAGCCCCTCTTGAAGGTGCCCAGTTGGTATCTCAGGCTCAGAAGTGTCCTTGACTTCCCATGGATCCTACCACCATGAGGGCCGTCCTGCATCTTTGCCGTGGCTGCCTTATCTCTGAGGATGGGACAGGAAGCCCCACCTAATCCTCAGCATTTCTTTGAAATCATCAGGTACCTCCAGGAAAGACAGAAATACTCTCCTCACCCTTCCCCTGCCCTAGAATTCCTTTTCCTCCAAACAGTGTACACAGAATTTCTACAGCCCTCCAGCAACTACCAGGGAGTCCTGATTAGTCACACGCTGGTCCTGGCCCAGGCTGCTGTGAGCATGGAGACTATCCATCATGCATATTCCAGAACAGTCCACCCTGCCTTTGTGGCACCTTGTCACATTTTGTGATCAAATTCTTACCTTGGAAAATATGGTCCCTGCAACCATGATATTCTCAACTCAAAGGAGGAGACTGGATTTTTTTAGTCAGACAGACCTAGTTTCAGATCTCAGCTTGGCTGCCTATAAGCTGAGTGACATTGTAAAGGTACTCCACTTCTCTGGGACTTAGTTTTCTCACCTGTAAAATGGGAATAAATATAACTAGGGTTGTAATTTTAAGGAAGCTTTTAAGAAGATTAAAGAATGTGAGAAATTGTCAGTATTGTGCCTGCCCTGCAGTAGTTGCTAAATAAATAAAACATTATCCTTTCCCTTGCCGATTGCATGGCATTTAGAGTGAGATAGATCAATGAGGCCTCTACTTCAGACATTCTAAAGCACTGGACACACACACACACCACACACACACACACACACACACACACACACACACACACACACACACACTAAAATTCTACCATTGAAAAGTCATTCTTTTAGGTCTTGGAGGAGATACTTTGGCCAATGACAATTAAACCTGTGGGAGATTTATTAACAGCAAACTCCACAGATAGCATACAGAGCAACCTAGATCAGGAACATCAGGGAAGGCCAGGGGGTCGACTGAAAGACAGTTTTTGTTTTTTTTCTTCTCTATTTTATCCCAAGGTGGTCCAGGCAAGGGAGAGAGGAGAGAGAGGGATGGTGCAGAGCTGTAGGTCCCTACTATAATAGAAATAAGTCACACTTGCAGGCCCACTGGGAGGGAACATGGCACGAGGCTGCATTTTCTTCTGATAAAAAGATCAAGTCAGAATTTCAGGGGGTTCATGACAGTGATGACTCCCTTTCTCCCCTCATGACAGAGCAGGTCTCCACTCCAGAAATTACGGTGCTGAACCAGACCCTGGAGAATGGAAACTGCAGCGTAGTGCTGGCCTGCACCGTGGAGAAGGGGGACCACGTGGTTTACAGCTGGAGCACGGAGGCAGGCACCCACCCGCTGAGTGTAGACAATGGCTCCCATCCTCTGTACCTCACCCTCGGCCCTCAGCATGCTGACGATAAGTACACCTGCTCCGCGAGCAATCCCATCAGCAACCGTTCCCAGACGTTCACCCCATGGTCCAGCTGCAGCTCCTCTTCCCCAGGTGAGTGGTGGCTCGTGCACAACCTTAAGGCTATGGGCTCAGTCCCAACTGGACCAATCTCTCTACTTCTATAGCCACGGCCTTTGCCTGGGTGGCAACACTACATTTTTTCTCTAGTTTATAAAAGCCTCCCATTACTCAGGGAATGCTCTCTGCCCATCATGACCAGGGTGGCATGATGACCCTCAGTTCACGGTTGAGGAAATGAATGAGCAATGATGGCGGCAGACCAGAGCCCGTGTCTCCAAGTCATGATTCTTCTTCTCTCCGCTCAGGTTGGCTCCAGTCAGTTGAGGTGGCTGGGTGAGGGGGTTCAGGTGGCAGGTCCTGACTCCCACATCCCTGCCCCACCAATGGTGGGACAGTTCTGTACCATCAGTAAGTACTTATGGATCACCTGGGCCAGTGGTCGGCAAACTGTGGCTTGAGGGCCACATGCGGCTCTTTGGACCCTTGAGGTTTTAGCAAAGGCCAGCTTAGGAGTACCTAATTAAGTTCATAGCAATGTACCTACCTATATAGTTTAAGTTTAAAAAATTTGGCTCTCAAAAGAAATTTCAATCATTGTTCTGTTGATATTTGGCTCTGTTGACTAATGAGTTTGCCGACCACTAACATAGGCTGTTGGAAATTGGGAATACATATGACACGTGATCTGCTCTCCAAAAACATGTTATAAAAATAAGACATAAAACATTTGCTCAATAATGAAAATCGGGAAATAATGAAGGACCATTTTTATGGAATTGACTGTGGATCCCACAGTGGGTGAGAGGATTCTGGGAGTCAGCTCTCTGAGGAAGACCTGGACTGGGAAGCGTGGAAATAATGATAAATGGTCTGCACTGCACGTCCCATGGTCTCTTCTGATCCTCATAAGAACCTTGCAGCATTATCCTCATTTTGCAGACGAGGCATTTGAAGCTCACTACCTTTCTCATGTTTCTTCAAGTTACAAATGGCAGAGTCAGCACCCATACCTAGATCTCCGATTGCTCTCTCCCTAGAAGGAAAGACATCATTATTCTGTTTTCTAAAGAAATGGAGGGCTGATGAAGCAAGCCCACCTGAGCACTTGGAGTTGGGAAGAAGATAGTTGGGAGTTGGTGACTCTTTTCACCAACATACGTTGTGTCCCTGACTCGGGGACAGAGAACCAGGGTGCTGGCCTTGCAAGAAATTACTTATGCCCTCTGGGCATCCCCTGGGAGTCTCCAAGGAGACTCCTCCCACAGGAGGTTTGCAGTTTATGTGGAAGGATTTCTAATGACCAGGGATGGAGAGACAGGGAAAGCCAGCCAGTGTGTGCACTTCATGATAGCATCTCCAGTTAGAGACTCACCTGGGTATTGCCACATGAGCTGCTGGGAAAATCCCACCTGGCCGCCAGTCTGGTTCCTTGGTGAACTGAACTCACCGCGTGTTGCCTCCCCAGCCATTCATGGTGAGTCAGTCATCTGCCCACCGAGAAATGTGTCTGGCTGCTTGTCCATCTTGCCCACAAACTACACTCAGAGGCTGTCTCCCAGTTCAGGCCCCTCTCCCTGGCCACAGTCATTCAGAATAAGCCGGTGGGACCAGGACAGTAGAGTTTACAGGACATGGCCCCAGAGGTCCCAGATCCAACCCTGCCTGCCCTTTTTGCCTACAAAGTTAAGTCACTTAACCAAGACTTAGATTCTTCCTCTGAAATAATAACTAACAGGTCTTCACTGTGTACTATATGCCAGTTATGTAGCATCCTACTTCATCCTCACAGCAGCCAAGCAGTGCCAGTATTCCCAATTTACAGATGAGGAAATAAAAGTATAAAAAGATCACCCAGAGCAAGTGACAGAGCTGAGCTGTCTGACCCTGGAACCCTCACAGGTACTAGTGGAAGAAATCATACATGTGGAATGCCTGATAAATGACAGTAAATGTGTTGCTATTTCTCCTCGGGGCCGAGGAAGCAGCGGCTCTGAACCCTGCCCAGCCCTCTCTGGTCACAGCAGCCCTCTTTGGCCCATCTCAAAAAAAGGGGAAGAGCTCTTTTCACGGTTCTCGATGTGGTTGAATAGGAATTTTAGTGCATTCCAAAGTAATGGCAGGCCATCGAGCTTTTACTCAGGCATTTGACCCGGGACAGTCCAAAAGAACGTAGAGGCTCTTACCCATCTAAGCTAGTTTGAGGACCACGTATGCACTGGCCTGAACCAGATTTATTGAGTATAAAGCAGGTTCCTGGAAGCGGTGGAGAGGCAGGCAAAGCAGAAGTAAGGCACCACGGGAAAAACCCTGTCAGGATCGCAGCTCAATCCCAGAGAACTTCGGGACATTTCATTTCTTGGGGCTCTGATTTATCATCTGTGAAATGCAAAGGGTGAGCTAATGGAGGTCATATTGATATTCTAATTCAGTTGGTATGTACATTAATCAGAAATGCTCATAAGGGTTACAAAGGTGAAGGGGTATTAGTTTGTGAGGGCGGCTGGAACAATGTACCACAACCTGGTGGCTTAACCAGTAGGAATGCATGGTCTCACTGTTCTGGAGGCTGCAAGTCCAAGATCAAGGTGTTGGCACAGTTGGTCCCTTTCTGAGGCTGTTAGGGAAGGATCTGTTGCAGAGCTCCCTTCTGGGCTAAGAGCTGGCTGGCTTCTGATGTCTCTTTACATTGTCTTCCCTCCATGCATATCTCTGTTCTAATTTCCCCTCATTATAAGAACTCTGGAGGCCTGGTGCATGAAATTCATGCACAGGTAGATTCCCTAGTTTTGGACAGCAATCAGGGCCAATTGGGGCCTTCTGGCTGCCTACTGGGGGCCTTCCTCTCCTTGGCTTCCAGATAGCTGCCTTCTTGCTATGTCTTTACATGGTCTTTCCTCTGTGGGTGCACATCCCAGGTCTCTCTTTGGGTGTCCAATTCCTCTTCTTATAAGAACACTAGTACTGCCCTAGCTGGTTTGGCTCAGTGGATAGAGCATCAGACTGCAGACTGAAGGGTCCCAGGTTCAATTCCAGTCAAGGGCACATGCCCAGGTTGCAGGCTCAATCTCCATTGGGGGGCATGCAGGAAGCAGCCAATCAACGATTCTCTCTCTATCTCTTTCTATCTCTTTCTCCCTCTTCCTTCCTCTCTGAAATCAATTTAAAAATATTTTTTTTAAAAAAAATAAGAACACTTGTACAATTGGCTTCGGGCCCACCCTACTGGCCTCATTTGAACATCTTCACCTCTTTTAAAACCCTATCTCCAAATACAGTCACATTCTGGGGTACTGGGGGGCTAGAGCTTCAACATACACAATTCAACCCATAACACCACCCCAATGGCCTCATTTTAACTTGATTAATTCTATAAAGACTATGTCTAAAAAGAAAAAGACTATGTCTCCAAATGAAGTCACATTTTAAGGACTTCAGCATGTGCACTTTTGGGGAAACACGATCCAATCTATAACACAAGCAGGGATTCCCCTTCCCCGCCTGAAGGGACAGGGAACTACAGCATGTCAGAACCAGCTCCCACATGCTGTTCCCAATGCACCAGGTTGACCAAATAGAAACCAAAAAAAAAGTTTTATTAATTCGTTGATTTGCGTTTGCAAATGAATCCTACTAATTCTTAAAATACTGTGCTTAGTTCAACAAAACATTTATTGAGGCTCTACTATGTTCCGGCATTGTGCTAGGTCCTTAAGGAGGGAGATAGCTCTGGATGTAACTAATTATCCTGGATTGTACAGGGTGAGAGGTGCAAAGACAGAGATATGGGCAAGGTAGCAAAGGCGGGAATAATTATCGCCGTCTCAGGAAAATGAAAGGAGCATCACAGGGGATGTGACAAACTGGGTTTGAAAACTAAATAGAAATTACCCACACAGATTTGAAAGGAAAAAAAAAGACGTTGGCAGAGGGAAAAGCAGATACAGCTGGGTCTTGTTCTGAATTATTCTGTAAGCAAAGGGAATAAAGAGTTGGGTATAGAAGAGTAACATGATCAGGTTTGCATTTCAGAGAAAAAATTCCATGATATGGAGAACATAATGGGGCAGGGAAGAGGAAGAAGAAAGAAATTAGTTAGGGGGGAGGGGCCATTATTGTAGCAACCCATCAAGACATGGTGAGGTTCGAACCAAAGCAGCGGCAGTTTAACAGACTTTAGACCTGGGATGAAGTGATGGGGTATGAAGGTCCCTTCAGCATCTATAATGAGTACAGTAATTTTAAGGCATTTTTCACTTTCGTTATGGAGAAATTCCAAATGTTAATAGTGTAAGGAGACCAAGCATGATGTCATCACTGAAGCTAAACAGCAAAGAATATATCTGTCCCTCGGATCTGTTTTTCTAGTGACATTTGTCCAGGTGCCCAGTGATATAGTCATCTTTATTCCAATTACCATCTGTTTTATGGTGTTTTATGGTAAGAAACTTCTTAATGTCTATCAATCTGAGGGGCCTTTATTGCAAAGTCCAAGTCCTGGTGTGCTACCAAGCACTCTGACTGTCACACAAAGCATGTTGATGTGGTCAACACTGAACAGTGTCATCCTTCCGTACTGTGCTCTGACATAGCTGTGTCTATGATGCTGCCATGAATAACAAAACTTACATAATCCAGCTAAAGGAAATGCTCATCTGGAAAAGAAGACCCTTTTTGGCATATTGGCAAAGAGCTGGCTCAGCAAGTCTAGGTTAGCTCGGCAGCAGAAAAAGCTGACACCTGCCAGTGAGCTCCCAGGGCTCTCCCTTTCTACCAGGGCCATTTCTTCGAACAGAGAGCTCCCATTGTCAAGGTCACCTAGATGTTTCACGCACAGGGCAGGTCCCTCACGTTCCTCCCAGTCCAAGCACTGTGGCAACAGTGGTGGAAGGGTGGAGCCTGGGCATCTCTCCTGGACCAGAGCCTTGTCACAAAGTCACACCTGCTAGAAAGGAAGCTGAGAAACATAGTCCTTACCTGGGCATTCAAATGACAAGGCAAAACTTGTCCATGGGAGGGAGGCAGGGAATGAC